AACACGGTCCAACACATTTCAACACATTCCAACACACTTTCAACACGTTTCAACACATTTCAACAAGGTTTCAACAACATTTCAACAACTCTTCAACAAGATTTCAACAACCTACCAACAATGGATCAACAGTYGGACCAACTGTCTGTCAACAGTTGATCYAACAGTTGAACACACAAGTTTCAGTGTCCCCAATATACGGTCAGTGTTGGTTTCCTTCAGTTTGTGTTGAACACATGCCCCCCCCCCGGCCAACGGTTTATAAACAGTTGAAATGTGGTGTCAACATAGGTTCAACGTGGCAAAAAAATTGCCACATTTTTTTTGTTGTATGCTGGGATGTGGACAGTGTGCCGCCAGCTTCAGTTAATGACGATTATGAGCTGGGATGCGGACAGTGTTGCCGCCAGCTACAGATGATGATGATTATTGGCTGGGATGTGGCCAGTGAGCCGCTAGCTATCGATGATTATGAGTTGGGATGTGGACAGTGTTGCCGCTAGCTACAGATGATGATGATTATTCGCATGCGACGTGGCCAGTGAGCCGCCGGCTATCGATGATGATTAAGAGTTGGGACGTGGCCAATGAGCCGCCAACTATCGATGATGATTATGTGCTGGGACGTGGCCCGTGTGCCTCCAGCAGCAGCCGACAGTCGCTTGCTATGATTATGGTATGATTTCGGATGTCGGAGCTGGATATGAGCAGCCTATGATGGCTCCGCTCATTGGTGGACTTATGTGTATGTCGGGCCATGATTGGCCCCAGTTTTGCATGTATGTGAGTTAAACTTTCAAAATTTCGGTTCATTGCATTGTATCTGGCTTGTCATGTGTCAGTCCTGGGACATGCCTGGGGGATTGAAAGCCAGTTTATGGGATTTCAGTTCTTGCCTCTTATTGTATTTTATTAGTCTGAATGACATTTATGAAATGAATGGTTGTGGGATAAAGTAAAATTTGTTTTCTTCCTCTCATAAGTCAGCGCTCAGTTGATGGGGCAACCTTCTAGTACGATTGCATAAGGAGGATTGCCTAGCATCATCTGGCACAAATTGATTAGCTATCTTTGAAGGAGGGTGACATTTGGCCTAGTGAAGTGTTCCCTTGACAAGGGGTTCAGCATCGCCGAGATGGGGTTCCTCTCCAGACGGGCCTTCGCGGCTAAACGCTACCAAGCTCTAAAGGGATAGGTAATCAGTCATGTGTCATAATCGATGGAGTGATCGGGCAAAGATCACTTAGCATCGCAGTGGATTGAGGCTCACTGCATTCTTCATGCTGGAAGGAGTGTTCCCACTGCATCCGTCGGGCTCTCGCAACGGTTCTCCGACGAGAATCTATCCACAGTGGCGTCCCCTGCGGTGTCAGCACTTGCGTCCTTCATGAAGAGGTGGAGAGTTTTCGACTTCGCCTCTTGAGCAAGAGATGATTCCCTGAAGCAGGTTCTCACAAGGTCCAGAGGCTAGCTGGGTCAGCGGGGTGTCTGCGAGAGGGCGGATCGAAGCGAGGAGGTGGAGAGTCGTAGCGCTACTCGTATTTATGTGCATAGTACATCATAGACCTAGGCGACGGCGTGCGCTCGCGCCGGTCCTCTAAGCGATGGCGCAAGCGCGTTCCTCCCCATCTCACCTCCTCCTCCTCCTCTTCGGATCTCTCCCCTTCGTATGTCAGATCGATCGGTCGATCTGGCGCCTTTCCCTGTCGACCTCCTCTCCCACGTCCAGCGCCCCCAAGCCTCGCGTCTTTGGCGTCATGGCAAAACATATTAGCTACACGATGATAAGCGTTGCGCGACGAGAGCGACGATAAGCTCTGCGCAATGATGAGCGCTAGTGCGATGAGAACGTAAACAAGTCGAGAGCGATGAAAGCAGCGGTAATAGCGAGAGCGTAACAGAGCTCCACACTCGATGATGTGAATTCAAGCACGAATGATGAGAGCAAGTAAGTTATTATAGTGGTCGGAACCTGGCGAGGACGCCAGGAATGGGGTTTGGTATGGTTGTCGGAGGACGATGCGGTGCAGCTGCAGAAATTGACTCGTCGCAGTCAACCTCAGCGCTGCGTCAAAACTGCGCTTAGGGATGTCCACGGTTACAGTCAAGTTGGGCCCTAGTGCATCTGTTAGATTTCCCCTTAGCCGAGATCAAGGGAAAGACGACGTGGCGGTAGGGTCCGCCGGAGACCTAATCATCCCTGTTGGACTGGACCGACGCGACTGCAATAGGCCATTTAGTGGGGTCCGGTCCAAGCGGCACCTGAAACGGATCAAGGGTTAGCAAGATAATTAAGTTTGACCGGTTAGGACCAGACCGACACGACCGCGTAACCCGGCCAGGAAAGGAACATCCCTAAGTAGCCATATAGATGAACAGTCAGGCCCGAATAATTAAAATAGGGTCTTGTGCTATTTTTAGCATGGGACTGACTGTTCATTTCCCAAAACCGGGCCTGCACCAGTCCCGTTCTAAAAATAGCACAGCCCCACGCTATTTTTAGCATGGGACTGACTGTTCATCTACCGAGGACTGGGCCTGCACCAGTCCCGTTCTAAAAATAACAGTCCCACGCCATTTTTAGCGTGGGACTGACTGTTCATCTACCGGGGACTGGGCCTGCGCCAGTCCCGTTCTAAAAATAGGACTGACTGTTCATATCCCGAGGTCGGGACTGCTGCTATTTTTAGCACAGGCCCGGTCTAAAGTTTGACCACAGCCCCGACCATGGGACTGCAGCACAGCCCGATCACCAGGCCTCTCCATTATAAAAGAGAGGCCACGTCACCCAAGAACACAGATCACACGGATTGCAGAGCAGATCAGACAGATCAACATACGCGGCACACACGGCTGGAGCACTTCAGCCTTGGTGGAACGGCAAGAGGCGGAGAGCATGAGTCAAAGATTAGCAACTTGCCAGCAGGAGCAAGAGAGGAGCATGGAGCAGGAGGCAAGAGAGTCGAGGGGAAGGCAAGTCAGGGAAGGAATAAGGAAAAGGGGGGGGCAAGACTGACCTCCCACTTTCCCTTTCTCATTCCCTTTTCTCTCTC